CATAATTTTTTTTTTTTTTCAGGCAATTTTGTATTATAAGTTGTGTTATGCAAAAAAGAACTGGAAATTTTTATAGAATCAGAAACTGATAAATGGAAAACTTATCGGCAAATTTCTGATAAATCTGAAATTCTATTTTTAACCCTGAATACCAGTGTGAATTTTTTTAGATCGTTCCGGACTTAACAACGGTCCGTTTCCTAGTACTGTACATACATTGTTTCTAATGTGTAACGATAAATTTTTTTTTTTAATCAATACTCCGAATAAGGTACACAAAAAAATTTACACGATAAATTATTTGTTATCTATTATGGAAATTTTTTACATTACATACATTAACTTACCTTAAGAATTATAAACAAACTAAAAATTTTTTAAACTAAACTACTTTTATATAGTGTAAATGAACATGTAAAACGAAGTTAATAATGTATAGAAAATTTTCTTCCTAACAGTAACATAAAGAAAATTTCTTTTTCTTTACTTCTTTGTTAATTAATTTTAGGAATGTACCAATTGATAAAACTTGTTTCATCCAAAGTTTTCTAATAAAAGGCTTAGTACAAATAGCGTTTCCCACAAATTGATCCAAACTGTTAAAATCCGATTGCGGATACACTACATATTCAGGAATTCAATATTTCTTTTACTGTTCTTTTTTGCATAACACAACTTATAATACAAAATTGCCTGAAAAAAAAAAAAATTATGCTCAATAATAAAAATAAATCAGGGAATTCTACTCCTAATACTTCAACTTCAACCAAAAATGATGTTATAATATCAAAAAAAAATACTCCAGTAAATAATCCTAATTCGAATAATAATTATTTAACACAGCAGTCGAGCGCTTTTAGTCCTACAATTACAGCTGTCTCTTCTAGTTCTGCTGCTACACCATCTTCTTATAATTCTTATTCTCAACAACAACAATTTTTTGCTAAACTACAAGCTACTCAATCTCCAACCACGTAGTCCATTACCATATATAAATTAGTACTATCTTGAAAAGTTCCCCATAAGTTAACTAAGAAAG